TTTTTATTTTTAAATAGAAAGATAAAGTCGTCTTATTCAAAATCCCAATAAGAACATTTTTTCTCCCACTTCAACATTAGATACGCTCTTCTTATATAGAGAACTTGAGAGAAACGCGCTTTCACATCTGAAATGGCAGAGATGTTCCTTTTTTGCGGAGGTGGCGGGGTGGGCCTGTAGCTCAGAGGATTAGAGCACGTGGCTACGAACCGCGGGGTCGTGGGTTCGAATCCCTCCTTGCCCACAACTGTCCCAAAAGCTAAATACTTTTCCCTCTGTGGGTAGGACAATAATGATTGGGATAACGAACCCAATTTGATGTGGGTGGGTAAGGTTACTCTTCATGGTAAAACGCGAGCCACCTTATCCTGATTCTAACTTCTGTTATTTAGAATCACTCCCCAAGTAGGATTCGAACCTACGACCAGTCGGTTAACAGCCGACCGCTCTACCACTGAGCTATTGAGGAAGAAAAGGAGATTCCATTTAATCGAGTAAAATTCCTGTTCTCAATTCAAGACCACTATAGGCGGGTTTCAATTCCCGTCGTTCACCCATGACCCGAATTGCTGTTTTGTTTCGATAAATTCTATAAAAAAAAAATCAAATTAAACTTCATTTCATATAAAACCTATTTTGAATTGAATTAATCTTTCGCTTGGGGACAGTTATTTGTAATTTGAAAAGTTTTGTAAATTTTATTTTTATGGAAAGCACTCCTACGACTTCTTGTTCTAAGGTTTCCTCAATTGAAAAATAAAACCTATTTTGAATTCCAAACATTGGAATTCCATATAGTAGAATAGAAAAAAAAATGATAGTAAAATATCATAATAGACGATCCTAATTAAATATCATAATAGACGATCCTAATTAAATATCATAATAGACGTCAAATATCAAAATAGACGATCATAATCAAAAAATGATAGTAAAATATCATAGTATAAGATGTGAAGGCAAATCTACTAGTTTATTGTTTTCTATTATAGAAAAATAATAGAAAAAATTATAGGAAAACAAGTTAAAAAAAAAAAAATAAAGGAGAATTTTATGATTATAGGTTCTGATTTCTTTTTTGAAGGTACTCAATTCTGTTGTTGTAGTCGGACTGTATTATGGATTTCTTACCACATTTTCAATAAGGTCCTCTTATTTCTTTTTTGTGCGAACTATGGTTATGGAAAAAGAACCAAATACAAATAAGAAGGTAGCAGCAACCACTGGTTTTTTTATGGGACAGCTCATAAGATTCGTATCCATCTATTATGCGCCCCTTTATCTAGCTTTGGGTAGACCTCATACAATAACTGTCCTTGCTTTACCTTATCTTTTGATTCAGCTTTTCTTGAACACTGAAAAAAAAATTTTTGCTTATGGATCTAATAACCAAAATTCAATCCGTGATCTAGAGAATATCTTTGTATTCCTCAATCATCTTATTTTTCAGTTGCTTAACATTTGTATTTTACCAAGTTCAACGTTAGCCCGATTAGTAAGCATTTATCTGTTTCGCTGTAACAATAAGATGTTGTTTGTAATAAGCAGTTTTTTTGCTTGGGGAATTGGACAAATTTTAGTCATCAATTGCTTGGAATTTTTAGTAGTCTGGATACAGAAAAATTTAGTAATCTGGATACATAAAAATAATGTTATTAGAAAGTACCTAGTCAGAAATTCTATCTTTTTTATTTTACTAAATTGTAGTTTTGGAAGTATAGTATGTATTCTAAGTATTCAGTCTTTAGGCAGAACACCCTTACCTATTCCTACTCAGAAATTTAGTGAGGTCTCAAAAATAGAACAAAGGGAAAAGGAAAGGTTGCAAAAGGAGGAAGAAAAAGACGTAGAAAAAAAAAAGAAATCCACTGAAGAAGATCCTTCCCTTTTTTCCGAAGAAAAGGGTATTTTGGAAAAAGAATTGGACTTGAAAGTAAACGAACCGGACTTGGAAGGATCTGATTCTGAATTGGAAATCCTTGAAAAATATGAAAATAAAGAACATATTGTGGCTCTTCTTTTTGATTATAAAAGATGGACTCGGCCATTTCGCTACATAAAAAATAATAGACTTGAACAAGCGGTAAGAAACGAAATGGCACAATATTTCTTTGACATACATAAAAGTGATGGAAAAGATAGAATATCTTTTACCCCATCCGATAAGTTTATCAACGTTTTTTTCAAATAATCAAAAAAAAGATACCCCTTTTATCATTAGAAAAAGATATTTCTAATAAATTGGACAATTTTTGGGTTTCTAGAAACAAACAAAAATTAAATTCTATAAAAATTGATTTGTTAAATCGAATTAAAAATCTTGACAAACCCAGTATCAGTCCCAATACTAGAAATTGAAACAACCAAAACGCGATTATGTATACACAATGATGAGACTAGAAAAGAATACTTACCAGAAGAGTATGATCCCTTGTTAAATGGGCCTTCCCGCGGAAGACTAAAAAAAGATATAACGTTGATAAACGAGACTTCGATCAAAAAGTTGAGAGAGAAGGTTATGCTAAATAGACTTCATGCTTTATTGTTGATGTCTCCTTTTGAAAAAAAGGAAAAAAAAACCATTACAAGTTGGTGAGTTCTCAACTTTATCATCGAGTTTCAATTTAACGGATTCAGAACAACTAACAAAATTTTTAGTAAATGTAATTGAGACAGACGATAAAAAATATTCTGCAATAGAAAAAATAAGGTAAAGAAGAGATTGGTAAAAAAGTCCCCGGATGGTCATACAAATTAATAACTGAATTGGAACAAATATCGTATTTTAGAAATCCACCAGATGATCATGATATTCGTTCAAGAAAAGGGATAAGTGTATTAATTTTTGAAGAGCCTAAGACTCTCAAAGATAAGACTACAAACAAAGATAAGAATACAAAAGAGACAAATATTCAAGCTATAAAATCCGACAATGATGAGAAAGATAAAAATATGAAAAAGAAAAAGGAAGATGAGGATAATAAGCTTTATTTGTTACGATATCCGCACCAATCTGATTTTCGCCAAGGCTTAATAAAAGACTCTATGCGAACTCAAAGACGTAAAATAGTTATTGAGGGACTTTTTAAAGCAAATGCGCATTCCCCTCTCTTTTTTGACAGGATGAGGAAAAAAAACCTTTTTTTCTATACCATACCTGGCTCAACTGAAACGACTTTTTATAAAATGGTCATCCAGAAACGAGTTCGGTATTTTAGAGTCTACAGAGGAAAAAAAAACAATAATAAAAAGAGAAACCAAAAAGGAAAAGAAACGACGAGAGGAAATAGAACGGTTAGAGATAGGGGAAGCCTGGGAAACTTTCCCATATACCCAAATAATAAGAGGTTTGTTATTAATAACCCAATCAATTCTGAGAAAAAAAATTCTATTACCTTCATTCATAATCGGGAAAAATATAGGGCGTATGCTACTATTTCAAACTCCTGAATGGTCTGAAGATTTAAAGGGATGGAATAAAGAAACGCATGTGAAGTGTACTTATAATGGTATTCCGTTAGCTGACAAAAAATTTCCGGAAAATTGGTTGACAGAAGGTATTCAAATCAAAATTTTATTTCCTTTCTGTCTAAAACCTTGGCACGAATATAAATCACTAACTTCTCGTGATGACTTTTGTTTTTTAACAGTTTGGGGAAGGGAAACAGAACACCCTTTTGGTCATCCACGACAAACACCTTCGTTTTTCGAGCCTGTTTTTAAGGAACTTTACAAATTTGTAAAAGTAAAAATCAAATTTTTAAAAAAGTTTTCAAAAAAAAAAACAAGTTCAAACGAAAAAAGAACAATACACCCGAGTTTAATAAAAAAAGAAAAAGATGATCAAATAAATAACCAGATAATGAATCAACCCTTGAGTAAAATTGAAAAAATTACAGATTGGAAAAATTATTCACCGATAGACAAAATACAGGCTATTACTCATAGGACAAATACAATTAAAAAAAAACTAGAAAGAATTACGGAAGATAAGAAAAGGCTGACTCTAGAACTAGATATGAGCCCTTACAAAAAAAGTTCGAGATTAGCCTTGTCAAAAAATTTTTGTCAAATGTTAAAAATAAAAAAAAATAGATTAAGATATAAATTTCATTATTTTATAAAATTATTGATTCAAAGAATATCTAACTATATTTTTTTATATACTATATCTATTTGCCAAATGACTGAAAAACTCTTTGTGGAATCAACAAAAATGAACTCTCTTTCAAATATAAAAACGCATAATAATAAGCGTTATAAGGAAAAGCCAGAGAATTTTGGTGATTTATCTAACTTGTCACAAGCATATGTATTGTACAAAATATCACAAAGGAGTTTTTTGAACGTATCTAATTTGATGTCTGTTCTTCAACAAAATGGAACATCTTTCTTGATTGAAAAGAATTTCTTTATTAAAAAAAAAAATAAAAGACTCATTTCATAAACAAGGAATACTTCAATCTGAAGGAATAAAAAAAGAACTTAAGCGGTCTAGAACGAGTCAATGGAAATTTTGGTTAAGAGGGAATTCTCAATACGATTTATCTCCTAATTTCTGGTCTGCCTTAAGATCACAAAAACAAAAATGGAGAAATAGGGCGAATCGCTATCGTAGGTCTAAACAAAAAGATTTACACAAAAGGAATTCCAGTAGAAAATTAAAATTAAATAATTACAGGAAACAAAAGGATGCTAACTCAGTATTTAATAAAAAAAAAAAAGATAATTTTAAAAAATGCTGTCAATATGATCTTTTAGCATATCAATACATTCAGTATGAAAAAAATAGTGGACCCCCTCCAGGAGCTAAACGGGAAACGATTTCTTATCATTACAAGATGTCACAAAACAACTTGTTTGCGATAACGAAAAATCTTCCTATCACTAGTTTCAGAGAAAAAATAGAAAGGGTCAATATCCCCTATACAGACAAAAATTTAGAGAGAAAATATTTAAATTTGAAAAAGATTAATTTTTCTCTTGATAAAAAAGCGGATATTGAGTCCTGGATCACGGGTAATGATAACAATACTCAAAGTACTCCAATTTTCACTTATAATTATCAATTAATTGATAGAATGGAAGAGATTGTGAAAATTGAGCAAATTTTTAAAAATGAAAAAGATCCTTTTGCTCTTTTGATTCAGACAAATACCGAAGAAAGGAATCTAGTAAATTCTAAAAATTCTTTATTGGATTGGATGGGACTGAATGAAGCAATACTCGACCGTCCATTAACGGCTGAGGAACTTTCGGTCTTCCCAGAATTTCTGTGGTTTGTTAATATATATAAAATGAAACCATGGATTATACCAAGCCAATCACTTATTTCTAATTTGAATCTCAATGATGAAATGACGAATCAAAAGATCGGTAAAATTAAGAATAAAAACAAAGATAAAAAGGATAAAAAGAAAACTGAGGGTGAAACCAAAGGTAAAACTGAGAGTAAAAAAAAAGATAAAGCCGAGGGTCAAACCAAAGGGGAAACTAAAGGTGAAACCAAAGGTGAAACCAAAGGTGAAACCAAAGGTGAAACCAAAGGGAAAACTGAAGGTGAAACCAAAGGTGAAACTGAAGGGGAAACCCAGGGGGAAACTGAAGGGGAAACTGAAGGTGAAAAGAAAAGTCAAACTGAGATAGAACTAGAGTTATTCCTGAAAAATTATTTATTTTTTCAATTTAGAGAGGATGAGGATGTTACTTTTAATCAAGGCCTTTTCCAAGATCTCCAGATCTATTGTCTCTTGCTTAGAATGCTAAATCGAAAAAAAATGATGCTATCATGGATTCAAAGGGAAAAGTTAAATTTGGGTCTAATGCCACAGATGAATCAGGAAGAGAGTATTCAAGATTCAAAAAATTCAAAAAGAAATGTTCCAGATTCAAAACAGAGTGTTCCAGATTCAAAACAGAGTGTTCCAGATTCAAAAAATTCAAAAAGAAATGTTCGAGATTCAAAACAGAGTGTTGCGGATTCAAAAGAGAGTGTTCCAGAATTTTTAAAAAGGACGGGATTTTTGGTTGACCCCCTTCCGCTGTCTATCAAACCAAACGGAGAATTTCTTATGTATCAAACCATAGTTCTTTCATTGGTTCATAAGAGTAAAGAAATTCTTAATCAAAAATACGTAAAACAACGAATAATTCGCGCTGAAGAGAACAATAATTGTGATCCGCTTCTTATTGAAAATATTTTATCATCTAGGCGTCGTAGAGAATTAAGAACTCTAATTTGTTTCAATTCAAACAAATGGAATGGCGTGGATGCAAATTCTCTAGTTTCCAACAAAAATCAAGTTTGGGAGGAAAGTAACCCTCGGCATAAGGATCCGAATAAATTGATTGAATTTTTTCTTTGGCCTAATTATCGATTGGAAGATTTAGCTTGTATGAATCGTTATTGGTTTAATACTAATAATGGGAGTCGTTTCAGTATGTTAAGGATCCATATGTATTTACCATTGAAATTTAATTGGTGGAAATTTAATTGATAGTAGTACTATCTACCCTCTAGCAGGGTAGATGGTACCAGGTTAGATGAAAAGCAATGAATGGAAATATACCTTATTTTA